CACAAAACAATTGATGTTTTTCTCATTTTTCAGTGTATTTATTTTCCTGCCTTTCCCTTTGGGAAGGGAGAACCCAACAACCACCTAAACAAATTCCAAACAATGGAAACAAATTTCCTAGAGAAGGGAAAGAGCAAAATTAATTTTGAACAAAGTATGCTAGAGAAATAACTACTTTCTTTTTGCCCTTCTCCCAGCCTCTCCAGGCTGAGCCTTGGCAGAGCCTTTTAAAACAATTTTTATTGCGTGGGTACCCAGTTCCTTTGAGCAGCTTTTGGTAATTCAGTATCTGTGGAAATCAGTTTGCCACAAGGATCAGTGTCTTTCCCTGGCAAGACATCTGCTCTGCCTTCACCTGGTCAGTTTTGTATGGCTGTGGTTTTTGTCAATGCATATGTGCTTTTGGCCTGCGATTGGGATAATAAATGTAAATASCTATATTTGATCACCGAATCTCACAGTACTATAAAATCTGGGATGTGTAGATGTGACTGTGACCTACAACAAGCACTTWTTATAGCAACTGTTAGCTTTCAAAATGTTGGGAGCAAAAGGAAGGTAGAACAAACAGAGCAAGTGACATAAGCTTCATATAAAATGGTGTAAGGACCTGTGAAGTTTTTRTTGCCCTTTTCTTCTAAAACTTACCTGTTGCTCACCTGCTCCTGAGTGCTTTCATTCCATGACCAGGCAACAAATRCTTTGTACCTCCTGCATCTTGGCCTGCTTTTATTGTGTGTTTGTAATTTGCTAAAGCAACAGCCTTCTGCTGCAGTGACCCTTTACCCAGTCCTTCATCTCCTCTTTGTGTAATATATTATCACATATAGGGTCAAACCTGTMTCATCCAGTGTGTGCACCAGGAGTGTGATCGATGTGCACCTAAACACCTGGTGAATTTCTTCCTTTGAAGTTGCAAGACTTATTTTTCTGCATCGGGAGTAGAAAGGAAAGGGTGTGTGTGTTCTTCTGATTTGTTTAAATAAATGGCTTAAATATTTAGCTTTAGTATGGGGGTGGTTTTGTTGTTTCTAATAATATTGTCTTAGGTGGAGATACAGAAAGATGTCTTTTGGGAAACCTCCCAGCAAGTATCTGAGCACTTTAGTTTGTGCTATACCTTGGACACCTACTCGGTACCTATAATGATTCTTCTTTAACACTCCCTTCTGCCACTCTGTCACCAAATATTCAGTGAAAGCAAAAACCTGCTTTCCCTGATAGGTTCTCTCTACAGGACCCAAACACTGGCCTTGTTCTGTAATCCTGGGTAAGCCACTTATCCAGTTGTGCTCAGTTTTTTCCTCCTTTGTTAACTGTTGATGCATTGTCTTGCAGTGGGAGGACTGCTAGGAATGCAGCATATTCAGTGTGTGCACAATGCCCTGCAGCGACCAGGGTCATCTAAGGACCAGCTGTGGAAATTTGGCTGCACTCCTCACTTTCCTTTCCCCCTTGTCATTGGGCTGTGGAAAAAAAGAAAAAAAAAATAACACTCCAAAGTCGTCATGTGCRCATGGTGGTCAGGGTCACCTAGATATGGGCTTGGCTGTTGATAGCATTTTGTCTTTGACTTTCCTGTGCCTCTTTAACACCGCTTACAGCTACAAGAAGAAGGTTTTTGAGACAATAAATTGGAAATAATGACCCTGTGGTGCTGCCTTGAAAGCAGTAACTCCCTTTTCCTGGAAAAGCAACTTGGGTTTGTTCTTGTGTTTGTTGAAATTTGCAGTTTCTGTGTTCAGGTTTTACATTCTTCAGCTTTGAGGCTTTGGAACTATTTTGATGGTTGAGTTTCATATGTAATTATCAATCTCCAGACACTGAGTCTTTAAGTGCCAGCTGTGACAAGCATGAGGAACCAAACCAGAGGAGCTGAGAGCCTGTAGGCATAGGCAGGAGACGTGACTTACCCAGGGCTGTATGGCCAACTGAGTCAGGACTAAAATTCAAGTCTTATGATTTCCCCAAAGAATGCGAAGTCCATGGGATCCAGCTGACTTTCTGCCAGAGCTTTGCACAGGACAAGCTTCAGTTTATCYTCAGGTAGTTCAAATAGTTATGTAAGACTGGTCTGAGTTTCCTCAGTGCAGAAACACAAGAGCTGGTGCTAGCTGACTTTATGGCAGGCAATTTCCTGTGCTGTGTCTGAGGAGACGGTTTGCTTTCCAGGCTCTGGGAAAGTTGTCTTGCAGGAGCAGGTGAATTTTTGCTTGCTAAGCCCCAGCACATACCATGGCAGGAGCTACCTGGTGTAATCCATAGCTCTGTGTCAGGTTCTCCAGATGCTGGAACAGCCCAGATCCTAGGGCTCTCTCTTATTTACTGCTTTGTTCCTCTACAAGTCTAGTCTCACCATTGAAAAAAACACTTCTGGCTTGAAGCCACTTGAAACAGCTTGGACAAGAGACTTCCTGCTCTGAACATTGAATTAATGGGCTTGGTCTTTACATGAGTGAAATCCTTTCAGATTTTTGTTCATGTCAGGCTCCCTGCTCTTCTAATTAAGAGGCTTTTAGCTCAGCCARTGTTTGGGAGCCACAGTGCAGCTGGGCTTTTGATAAAATGAGGAAATGCTAGAGGTARGGATGTAATGGGTTGGATTGCATCTTCAAAAAAATGTCTCTGAGAGAGAACAGAACATCCTCCTTACACCACTGTTTGTTTGCTGCAGCAAAGCTGGGGAGACGTTAACTGCGTGGGCTGCTGTAGAACTGATGAAACTCTAGGAAAGTAAGATCATCTTTACTTCTGCGGACCTTGGTGTCTCTTAGGCAGCTAGAGGGATGTTTTAGAAAACYTATTCTTCCTTGTGCCTTTTTTTATTCTGGCTGTTTTCTGCATGGCTCTCACTTTGAAATCCCTTTTGCTTTCTTCTTCTAGAAAAAACCTCCAGGAAGGTGGCCTGTAGAAGCCAAAAATTATCATTCATCAGTGTGGTTGTTATTCCTCACCATAATCACCTGTAAAATCTAGGCAGTATAAGATATTTGGGTCTTTTTTTGCTTTTCTTCAAGGTGAGCTTTGCAATTTTTACTTAAATATGTAAAGTAAGCTGGTCTTCTTTCTGACTTCTTTTCCACTTACACATACAGACTTGCCATCAGAAGCAAGCTAACTGTCCAGCTAATGCACAGAATCTAACTTTAGTCTCTAAATCTCGTCGTGTTGGCTCTGTAACACAAAAAAAATGCTTGGTAGGAGGGTTTGTTTGAGAAAATCATGGTCTGCCTTCTTATTTTTTATGCTTTCTTTCTTTCTTTCTTCTCCTATGTTTCCCAAAGCTTGGGTCCAACTCTGTCTATTGCTTGCCAGGGATGTTTACTTGACTCAAAATGTAATAATAGTACCCATTTATAGGTAGTCTTCTGGAGAATTTAGTGTCACTTGAGCAGGTATTTATTTGAAACAGAGGTGCCCTGGAAAAACACTGATTTGAAAGGGGGAATGAAGCGTTCAGCTTGTTCTGTGAAGCAGAACCACCCTCTGGCTCGCAAACCAGCAGTAATAAACAGAGTCAAATAGCGTGGGGCATAATTGCCTTCTCCTTTTGTGTCAGCTTCATATCATTCTCACATGTGACATTCTTGCTGGCCATCATGGTCTTTATCCTCCCATTGTACCAAGAGTGCAAACAGAATTAGTTTGTTTGTTATCGTGGCATCTATACCTGGCTTTTAATTTCTTGTAGGTTAAAAAAACCCAACCAACCCAACCCTCAAGCCCTCTTTGTCCAGCACTGTTTAAATCTGCTCTCAGCCTGCTTGCACAGCTCACTTCTGCCCTGCAATGCAGAAAACAGGTCTGTAGAAGGAGAAATCTAAAGCAATCAGTGCAACAWGGCTTCAAAAATGTGGTGGTGTTGTTGCTGAAGAGAAGCTGTCTGGACAAGCAGTCTGATTCCATGAGACTGGTAAGTTGGAAGGTGGCTTGGTGTAGGGATGCATTGCAGGCATTTGTACAGTCACAGTGTTCAGATTAAATGGGTGCTCCCATTCCTTTTTGCTTTTAGGTACTTGAAACTGATGGGAAATATTTGTTTTGGCCGCTGAAATGTCTCCATAGTTTTGTGGTTTCCTTCCTATAAATGTGAATATTGCWGATTAAAATTCTGTTTGGCAGCTCAAGAGTTCTCAAAACAGAGGCTTGAAGGCAAGGGGTCAGGAGTGCCCGGCTTATTAAATTTTTCCCAGTACAGGAATTGTCTGACCTTTCCCTGTACTGTAGCAACATAGAAAAAAAAGATGGAACTACTATTTGGAAAGCGTTAACAAGARAATGTCAGAGGTGGATGGCCAGAGAGAGGACCTGCCTGGGAGAGGACTGGGAGAGACATTTCTTCTCTTTCTTCTGTTGCTTGCACAGATCTTCCTCTTGTCTGCTCTTGTCCTGCTCTGGGTTCTTGCAGTTTTAATGCAGGTTTGGTGTCCAAAGGTGGAGCCAAAAAGAAACAAAAGGAGGAAAAGTACATGTTATTGCCAGAGGAACCAAGACCAGCGAGAAGCAGCTCACAGTGTTTGAGCCCAGTTTCAGCTGATGTGGRGCATCACTGTGCTCCCACGCACATTTACCTATGTGCTTTAGTATCCTCACCCTCTTGTCTCTGCTGAAACCCTCCCTTGGCCCCTGGCTTTCCCTACAAAGAACTCGGGCCGCACTGAAGGTCTGAGGCAGAGGAGGAGGAGAGGTGGCAACAGAGCCTCCCTGCTGGGTGCGGGGTCTGGGGCCGTCAGAGGGTGGAGGGTTCATGGCTGTGTGAAAGGCTCAGTTCCACCCGTGTTGTGTACAGGGTGTACCTCAATGGGGGTGGCAAACTCCCTTTCCCCCTCTGCTCTCTTCATGGAATATTTTGGGTTGGAAGGGACTTTTAGAGGTTGTCTAGTCCAGATATGGATGCTGAGTGTTGTTCTTTCRAACATCAAGGCATTTAACTATATTGTGTATGGGTTGGAAAGGGAGGGTCATGTTTGACAGTGTTTTCTGTGTTTCCTGCCCCACAGTTCTTCTGCTTGGCCCTGCCCTGAGGGAAAAGACTTGGAGAAGATGGAGAACCAGAGTGGAGTGCTCTTGGGATATGTCCACTGGGAAGGAAAAGAGGAAGGGGGTGAGGAGGATGGAGTGACTCCTCGTGTTTCTCCTCCCAGCCAAATGAGCAGACTGGAAGATGTGCAGGTGGAGATGCTTGAGAAGGCAAGGGAGCTCTTCCAGCTGTGTGACAAGGATGAGAAGGGTTTTATTACCAAGGTGGACATGCAGGTGAGGGAAAAAAAATCTTCCTCCATCCTGGGAGGATCTGTAAAGTCATTGGTCAACAGGGAGACAAAATGGCATGTCTTCACACTTGATGATGAGGTCTGCATGTGGCCTCTGTCTCATTCAGATTTCTGGGAACCAAACTCTGGCACAGCCAACTCATAGGAACTAAAACTCCCAGGAGGATCTTGTACCTCCAGGGAATTCCTGAGACAAGTGGGACTGCAATTCCAAGTTTTTAAGGAATGCATTAAAAAAAAAAAAGTAATTGACAGTTCTTACAAACATCAAGCATGCAATGGATGGGAAATATGGAAGGAAAAAGTTCTTTGGTTTAATTAAAAAAAAAAAAACCAAAAAAACACAGCCCTCCAAAAACCCCACACAATGAACAGTCTATCAACCTCTCAACAAAAAAAAGTTGAGACAAAAAATTATACAGGTCATAGCTAAAGTAGACCTGAACTATAACTTTGCTCTATAATGTGTTGATTTCTGTTAAAAAAAGTATTTGTTAACGAAATACCTGTAGTTCTTAGTGAGTTTTGTTTTAAAGGTTTATCAGGAACRTTACATGTGGATTATTTTCCTTCTGCCCTATCTCTCCCTATGTCTGTAAATAACATTTGTCAGGTTCATACTGATTTAAATATTGACTCACTTTGCTTTGGGTTGTGTGATGCCTAATTTTTATAGTTATTTATATAAATTTTTGTTAAGCTTTTATGTAAAGCTGCACATTTAACAGAAGTTATGAGGTTTTAGCCTACACCTCTTCAAAATTTGTTTCTTGGGGTGTCCCTYTACTCTAGGTGCTCTGCGCAGGTATTATGAAGGGGAGTTGCTCTGCTCCTTGTCCATGCTGTGGGAATAGTGATACAGTCCCAGCAGGCAGAAGGTGACAGAGGAAAGCTACCTCGCTGTTATGGACTGAACATTTCCTTTAGGATCTGCAAGACTTCCTGTAAAAGCTTGGAACTGAATCCAGATACCCATAARCCTGACCTCCCTCCCTGATCAAAGAGGTGCAGCTGGTACCTGACGTGCCCAGAGAGAGCTCTCTTGGGAGCAGCAGTGGTCACAGGAAGCTGCCAATGCCACCTTTGAGTAGAAGTGGAGGGAGGCAGGCAGTCAACTAGAGACAGTGGTTCTGTAGTGCAGGAGCACTCTGTAGTGCAGGTTGAGCTTTCTCCAAACAAAATAACCTGAAATTCCCTCTCTGCATCCTGGTTGAATCATCCAATAATGGAAAGAGTCACCATATCAATGGCTCCAGACAGGTGATCGTGTCATCACTCAGCTGTACTGGCAGACTGTCAGATTGTGGGCARGATGCAGTGCTGAAAGGGCACATTGCTGTGAGCCGGAGCTGAGGATGGCAGGGACAGTCACAAGGAAGACTTGAGTCATGCCTCAAGTTTGTTTGTTCTTTTGTCTTTGCAGCGGCTCCAGAGTGAACTCCCCCTAACCCCTGAGCAGCTGGAGACTGTTTTTGACAGCTTGGAGCAGAATAATAAAGGATACCTGACACCTGTGGAGTTCAGCATGGGTCTAGGTAAGGGCTGAACCGAGGCAGAGGAAGGAAAAAGCCCACCCATGACAGGATAGCTTTTGTTGGTAATAGAGAAAGTACAGTGGTTCAGCTGAAGCTGCTCCAGCTATGCAGGACAATGCCCCAGGCTCATGTGAGCGTCACTGGAGAAGGTGGGTGTGTATCCCWGTCCTCGAGGCTTTGTGCTGCCTTCTTCCACAACTGTTTCCTGCCTACCTGGAGGAGCCAGCCACAGAACATCTGCTGCCGGAGAAGGTACAATCTGCAAACTGTGTCTGGCTATCTGATGTGCAGTTGTTTGTCTGCATGAAAATGTGCCTTTGGGCAGCTGTCTMCAGCTGGTACCACTGCAGCTCAAGGGCTTTAGTAGGAGTCCTGCTAGTAGGCTAGAACACTGGCAAATGAGCCTTTGCCTTCTTTCTGCTGTCTTTTCCAAACACTAGGAAAATGCTAATCCTTGCCCAGAGTCCTCACTCAGCAGCACAGGTTCTCAGCTGCCTTAGCTGGTTGTATGCTTTCAGAAATTCTGTACCTGTCAGCACCTTCCTTGGACATGCACAGCTGTTCAGAGGGTCAGGTCAAAGCAAGTGAACACAGGTGGTGCAGGGCTTTCAGAAGTGATGGAAGAGCCTCCTGAATTTTGCTGTCCTGATTGCTCAGACTGTTTGCTCCTGTCTTTTTCACAACTTAGGAGGGAGAGCTTTTAATGCTGCAGTTTGGATGATCTGTGAGAACATGGTGAGAGGAGAAKTTGCAGAGATTTCCTCTGAATAAACCCTGAAAGCTGTGTTTTAGGCYAGCCTATTCAGGGACTGTTTTAACCCACTGAGTGTCTGCTCCTGTCCCTGCCCTGTGCCTCTGTCCTTGTTGGGAGTTCCACTGCTTTTGSCAGAAACAAGAGTCCTCTCAGGAATGTAGACTTTCCAGTCCAGCACTGTGTAGCAGGTGAATGGGCACCATTTGGGCACCTTGGCATCCACAATGCCCTGTGTGTTATGACTTGGTTATTCCCAAATCTTGTTGTATGATGCATTTGTCCCAGAGCCACAGTCTCAGATGGACATCATGAGGGCATCTGCCTCAGTGCCATTGCTGGAAGAGGTAGACAAGCTTACTCTTTGTGTCAGGTACCACCCTGTGTTAGCAGCCTGGTTCCATGGCACTTGCTCTAGTCTAGGCAAAACATTAAATTTCTTCATTTCTTTTCTTTGTGGTCATTCTTTTTGTCTGGTATAATCAAAATCCTTTTCAGACTTTGTCCTAACTCAAGAGTCTGGCCTGGCTGTCTTTCTTATGGCTTATACAGGGGTGAATCGAGGGAAGCAGTTCAAGCTGCAATCAAGTCTGCTTCTTGATTGAAGGGGCTGAGAGGGCTCCTTGCTTCTTCTAGGATGTCAAAACAATCTTCAGATMATTCTCTACCTCAATTTTCCCAACTGTAAAAGAGAGATAATGAGACAGAGTGAGTCTTTCTCAAAAGCAGACATTAAAAGTGCCTAATCTAACTCCTTCTCCTTAATTAATTGTCTGATCATCACTCTTTAACTAAGTAGGGCCTGTATCTCCACACTGCAAGTTTTTTTACGGCACATTTTAAGAGTGGGAGAGAAGCAGCTAAATTCTGGATATATGGAGCTAAAAAGAGGTAGAGCTGGGTCCTTTGAAGTATAATAGTGGTGGATATTTTTCCCCTTAGAGTAGCTTCTTGTTCTCATCTGTGCTCTGTGAACACAGACTTTGTGTAACCTTATGTAACCTTGACTCCTCGTTTGGTAGCTGGGATGTCATTTCTGCCTTTGGAACCAAGCAGATATATTTTGGAAAGGAAGAGTATCTGCTGCTGAAGGCCTGACTTCTGTATACAGATGAGGGCCTGTGCTTTGGATAGGATTGCTTGATTTGTTTCTTTGAGAAGGATTTGTTCCCAGCACCAGTGTTTGTCACATGCCTTGCATAGCAGGAGGTTCTCGTGGCATTAGTATCTCAGCATGAAACGGAATCCAGAGAGCTGGAAGCCATCCGTCCGTGGGATGGGGCAGGAGGAGGTGCTTGGAGGGCCACTCATTCTGTTCTACACAGTCCTAGCAAGAGGCTGTCCTTGTTGCGTAGCGCTTGACCAGAACAGATGTAGCACATGAGGAGGGAGGGCTAATGAGCCCCTCCTCTCCTGTTTTTAAGCTGAGGAACTGCACCATGGTACTATTCGGGGCTGGGCACGCAGTCCCAGAGAGAGCTTGTGGGATCGCTGGCGACTGAACCCACAGCGCCGCTCTGTGGGAGTGAAGGGACCTCATGCCACATGCTTTCCGTGCCTGAGTCCGAGGCCGTGGGTGGTTGCTGTCTGCACACAGATGGGAGCAGAGCCCTGGCAGCCTGCTGCTAGGCTGGGAGCCAGTCCCAGCACCGTGGAAYGGACACTGACATCACTCAGGACGTCAGAACGGAGGCTCTTCACTGACCAGGAGCTGTATCCTACACCAGCAGCATGCAGGAGGSTTCTCGTGGAGCTCTGTCAGGCTGCCATGTAGATAGCAGCTCATTAAATGACATCCACTTTGACTTTCTTTATTCTTCTTCTCTTCTACTTCCACCAGGAAAGYTAATAGGAATTGAATTGTGTCAAGGGGCTGGGAGAATGGATCACTCCAGACATGAGGAGACCTTTGAGTCAGGCTGGTCAGATGACTTGGACCCAGCAGATGATGATGAAGAGAAACGATTCTGTTCCATGATGGAGCAGCTCGGAGCAGCCCATTTGTTTGAAGAGTAAGTAGAGGAGTCGCATGGCATTGCTTCTACCCTGTTTTGATCTTGCAGTACCAAAATTTCAAAGTATCAGAAAAGACCAAAGAGGTGAACCGAGCTGCTTGTTCTCTGGAGCACTTCTTGGGCTTTCTGTACTGCTGCCTTTAGTTTTCATATGCTTGATAGCAAATGCAGTGCGGTCTGAGTTTTCTCATCCGTTACCAATTAATTTTAGCTCAGTGTTTTTCACAGTTTCCCAAATTTGAGTTCATAACACAGCTGTAAAATGGAACAGCTGGTGGCATGCAAGTCCAGCACAGGCAGCAAATGAAAAGRAGCATGTGAGGGTTAGACGAGGTAAGGAGGAGGAGTGTGCTCTCTGTTCAAAAACAGTGTGTGACTGTTCACACATTTTCAGACAATCAGTTCCAAGACTCTGTGTGGAGACTCTTGCATGTAGCCTCAGTAGAGTCTGCTGGCCCCAGTGCCATCCAGCCTTTTTTTTAGGCTTTCCAGCACGACGCATTATGCATAACTGTTTCTTACTGATGCACACCTAGAGGACCTGGGGTGCCCTACTGCATCCCTGGCTGTCCTTTCCTTCAGGCATTGTAGTTCAACAGTGTTGTCAGTTTGCAGGGAGCACTCCAGGTTAGGGAAGGAAATGGACAGGGGAGACAGAAGATGAGAGTGACAGAGYTTGCTGCTTTCCAAGCTGCATCTGTCATGAAACAGATTTTTTTCCTTATTTCATTGTGATGCAAAGCACCTGCATGTTTTTAATGCTAAACAACTTCTGTCTGGAAAAAGTTCTGGAAAGCTGTTTTGCTTCAAACAAAGGGATGACACTGTGAAGGGCCATATTACTGTTCTGGGAAAACAGTCTCTACTGTTTATAAGTCTSCTTTGAGAAGTAGAACTCTTAAAGAGGAATTATGCTGTGCTTCATTTTGACCACTTGCAGTTTTATGTAATGAGTTCAGTAGCTTCATGTCATGTCTTTGTGCCAAACCAGCTGTTGTAAAGCAGTATTGTCAAACAGAAGCTAGTTGGGGTGAAAGCAGGMATCTGAAATATTTTTACTGTTTTCTCTGGAAAGAAATGGTTTYGTTTACTAACAGGACTCAATATGTTCTTTTATCTAAAATGTGAAGTTTTGATGAAGTGCTGTAATTTTTTATCTTGGGACAGATAAAGAAGGCTGTCATGCAATACTGGCAGAGGAAATCCAAAGCTTTTTACTTAGTTTGTCTTGTTTGTGTTTTCCCAAAGAATACTAAGAGAGAYGAATACATAGACAAAGAATAATACATATTTGGATACTGACTATAGGTATAATTATTCCGTATCTTTCAAGTCAGTTTCTCCAAAGTGTTTTGTGAATTAAAAAAAAAACAAAACCAAAAAACAAAAACAACAATTAAAAAGCTCTCCCCTGAAAAGCAACATGAAGTGATGTCTGCAGCTTATAAGATACTTTGGGAATGCATAAATTTGTAAATGAATGYAAATGAATTAAATCTCAAAACTGTAATCATTATTGCAGGTTCAGAAAAAGACGTCTTTGGTTTTCCAGGGCTTCCTCCATTGTTATCCTGATGCAACACTTGAACAAACTTGCATCTTTGTTTGTGCCTTGGTTTCCAAATCTGTAAAAAAATAAGGAGGACAGTAGCAGCCACCAGTACAGTCCTAGTGTAAGAAAAACACCTAAGTGATGTGTGCTAAAAACCCTGTGYTGTAACAGTTTGACTGTAACACACAGCACATTTGCTGAATATTCATTTCTTCAAGTCTTCATGTAGACACCAATTGTGTTATCGATGAATGCTTGGAAAAACAATCATTCCATGTTTGCTTCCTAGATTATTTTTCTTTTCTTCTTTCAGATGACTTCCTTTATTTTGACCTCACAATAGATCCCACTCCACATGCATGCTCTGTCACTGTCCAGCTTCCCTCTTTGCGGTAATGGTGTGACAGAGATGATCACAGGAGAATGGCAGCTTCTCCTGAGTGCATGTTGGAGTTGGAATAACAGTCCATAAGATGACACAGTAACTCTTTTGCTTTCCTTCTCTCTTGTATGCTTGTTCCAGCCCACATGAGATTCGGGAGCTCTGGGCTCGCCTACGAAAGGAGCGTCCAGAGCTCTTGTCCAATTTTGAAGAGTTTCTGTTGCGTGTTTCATCATACATAAGGGAGGTGAATCATGAGAAGGAGTCGATGGAACAAGCACTGAAGAGGTAAGGAGAACATCATAGCCATCTGCTGCCAGAAGCCAGCTGATGCTTGGATCCTGCCTCACGTTCAAGGAGAGACTGGGTCACAGGATGCACAGATACTACTTGCTGTGGTAAAATGACTCTATCTTGGTCTGATCCCCATGGGTTTGCTTTGCATCAGTGCTCACGCATAACTTTTGGTGCAGTTAAAATCCCACTCAGTGCCACCCAGCTGTTAGTAGGAATCTGTTTCCACCCTCCTCTTTCCTTTCTGTGTTCTCTTTTTCTCTCCTGACCTGCATGYACCTGTCTTTTGTAGGAAGGAGTCAGATCACGATCGAGAAGTTAGATGCCTTTATGAAGAAATGGAACAACAGATCAAAGCAGAAAGAGAGAGGCTGGTCTGCCAGGTACCTTCTCTATCCCTCTTCTGGCTTGAAGGCAACATTTMTTTGGTCTGAAGTAGAGGTGGTGGCTTGTCTGGCCAAGGAGCAGCCCTTACTGTGCTGGGTGTTGTGTGCAGCTGTGTATCTTTACCTCTGCAGGAAGCACTGAGGCATGACAGGAGTAACCTGCTCCAGAAGGAGCTGCACAACAAAGAGCAGGAGCTGGAGAAAATCCTCTACTGTCAGAAAAAGGTAACAGGATCCAAACCTCTTTAACAAARCACATTCCCCTCTGCTGTCCTTCTGCTAAGGCTGTTTCTTATGTAAAATGGTGCTCAGCTGCTGAGTGTTGTTCTAGATAAACTGGCTCTAGCTAATGTTGAGATGGTTTGTCMAGTAATGGGTTTGTATTTCTGTGAATGTTTTGTTCATGCATTTTCTTATCTGCTTTGTGTTCTCTTGGCACAATCTTCCTATCAGTTGTACAATACCGGCAAGGAAGATGGGGTAAAAATTTGAAAGTTGTGAGTTTGGAGCCTTTTGCAGTGTGTAAGGAAGACGTGTATGAACGCGAAAGAGACAGATTTCTCTAGTTTTTGTTTTCTTGCTGCTCCAAGATAACCCAGAGTGAGCAGTTCTGTGACATTTAGAAAGATATTGTAGATTTGCATTTGGGTATTTGATGATGATGCACTCATTAATCAGTGGCATAAAAGATCAGTGCACACCCTTTCCTTCAGCCTGCCATCCCAAACATGGACATTTGTATGGGATAGTCCATTCTGGATGTCCTTTTCCTTGGTGTCTGAAGAACTGTGATGTGACCCCACAGAAACAAGTTGTGGCAGGTACCTGCAAGATGCTGGGGACAGGGGRTATCCCAGTTGGATACCCAGCTGTGATGTGGATGAGGCAGCACTTCTCTGAAATCACCAGCTCGTTGTGCAGCAGCTGGAAAAGCCAGCGCAACTGAGGTGCCATCAGGAAGGATACTGAGAATAAGATAGAGAATATATTTCTTTCCTGCTGCCCACATCTTTGATGTGCCTCATTTAGTGTCTGCAGGTCTGGTCTCCTCTAATTGTACTGTGTCCTTCTTGAGTGTGAAGGTAAAGAGAGTTAATATTRTGGAAAAAATGGAAAATTTGCCTTAGGAAGAGAAATCAGGAAAGTTTAGACATGGTTTTGTAGACAAGGGATCTGAGGGAAGATACAAGTGAGCTTTATGAACTTGGGAAAGTGATGGATAAGGTCCATACAAAAGTATTATTCCCCAAGTCCTGCAACAGAAGTGAGGGACACTCAGTGAGACCAATATGAATTTGATCTGGAAGAACACACTTCTTTACACAGAGATTAGTGCTGGACTTTTGGCCGCAGGAAGCAGGCAATATCACAGTTCAGAAATGAATTGGACAAACAAATGGACAATAGGCTTGGAAATATTCATTAGAAGGAGGAGTAGTCAGAGACTTGGCCTCTAACATCCCTGGTCCAGGGACCGTGGATGCTGGGAGTATAAGAGAGGAATGGAGCATAGTTAGGAGCCCAGGCATGCTTTTCCTAGGTAGCATCTCCTCTTGCTGAGGACCAGGGCAGAGCACTTGGGATGCACGGACGCTTTTAACGCTGAGGCTTGTTCTGAGCTATATGGATAATCGGGTCCCCCTTGTGGCCTAAGAYCAGTACTGTGACACTGCTATTCCACAGTATCGCTTTGAAGTACAGACCACAGGTTCGGGAGAGTTACACGTGATGGAGATTTCTTAGGGAGGGTTATGTGTGTTTTATTTAAAACCTGTCCCTTGGCTTATTGAAATATATRAAGGCTGTAAGCAGGGGTTGCTGGTTTTCAGTCTCAGCTCCACTGCTGAGCATATGTAGTCTTGGTGAAATATTCCCCGATGTCCACAGGAAAAGCTGGGTGTGACTTGCCCTTATATCCTCAGCAGCGAGAGAGATGGGGCTTGTGTTTCAAGGAACCTAGGAAAGGTCAGCTCCTTTGATTCCTGCTCCTGACTGTTGTACACATTTGCTGGCAGAGAAGACAGCAGTGAGAAAAAAAAACTTTTTATCTTCTGCCATGGTGTGCTGGTTTATTTTTCCTTTGAGAGGTGGAGAAAGTAGGCTGAGAGCAAAGGCAAGCTGAAGGTGTCAATGTGGAGGCTGTCTCTGCCACCTGCTACCCTGATCAGACCTGATTCCTGGTGCTTCTCTCTGGTTATAAGCGTGGATGCATGCTTTTATTTTGGGCTGTAAGTTCTTAGATGGGTACCAGAGTTTTTGTGTGACAGCAGCTTCAGCAGAGGGTTCTGGTTAGCTGGTGTGGCTGGCTGGATCCCGCAGTGTCAGTGTGATCCTTCTTGGAATGCCTTCCTTGTCATCGGAGATGGGCGGGTTTGGCAGCTGCATCTGCCTGTGACTCTCCCCCAGACTATGCCAGCCATTGGCAAGGAATTGAGTCACTGGCTGAGTACATGACAGCAGGCTTGGATTTCCCAAATCAGGCCTGTTAGTTGTGCTGGGGGCTTGTGCTGCCTAGAATGCATTTAAACATTTCTAGCCCAAGGTGCTGTCTCCAGCAGTAGTAAAGGCTCCCCAACCATTTCACTTTCTAGGTGCAGTGTGAGATACCCCTAGCACTGCAATATATCCTCCTTTCAGCTGCCACGAGCTCAGGAAGCCCCTAAACTGGAGGACATATTTCAACAACTGCACTTGATAAATCCTGACAGACACAGCACTGCTTCCACCCAAAGTTTTCCAGTCCTACTTTGAGCCTCATTTGCACTCTGATTCCTACAATGCCTGACAGCAGCAAGCTCCTCACACTGCCTCAAGCATTTCCTCAGCTGTGCCTAATTGCATTGCTTGGTTCCCCAGTGCTGGCATGATGAGAATTTTTTCCAGTTCACCTTCTCAGGGCCACTGATGGCACTGTAGAKTTAAGCTTTACCCCGTTCTGCATCACTGTTTACATCTGTTTTTTCAGCTTGTTTTTTCAATTGTGATTGTAGCACAAAACCTTCCTCTCTGTGTTTAACCCCTCCTCCTCCTCCTCTCCCATTGCAGCTGGAACACCAGCTACAGTCACTGAACTCAGAGCAGCTGGAGACCCGTGTGCAGAATGAAAGGCTCCGGMACCTGAATGAAAACCTGCTTGAAGAGCTGGAGAAAAGCAAATGGGAGCTRGAAGCAGTGAAGGGGCAACTACAGAAGCTCCAGAAAGAGGCTCAGCTTGAGCAAGAACAGAAGGACAGGTGGGAAAGGGCAGGAAAGGTTGTGTTAGGGCAAAGACACAGAGAGGGAAAGGTGGGYGGGTTGTTAAAGAATAAGTATCCCTAGTTAGGAGCCTTGGTCTCAGTAGAGGATTGCCTGTGTCTTTTTGTGGAAAAGAAGAAACATCCCAAAGGTGTTATTGGCCTAAACAGGGAGTGATGCTGCTACATCTTACCTRCCTTCTATGGGAAATGAATATGTTCTAGAAAATCAGTACAAAAATACAGATGTTCCTCAGCCTACAGGAGGCTTCTCCATGCRTTTTCCAGCTCAGCATCACTTCTGTAATGCTCTCTTTAAAGATCCTCTTCTAACCATTTGTGTTCCCATTTCTGGGTTAAATCTAATAATATGTATTTAAAACACTGGGATGTTTTAGATCCAGATGGAAGTGAGCATYACTCCCATCTCTAGCAGGTGAGGAAGTGGAGAGGATGGGTTGCCTGCTCTCATGTTGGACAGCCATCCCAGTTCCCACAGCAGTGCTGCTTCCTCTGAATTCTCCTAGCATAGGGCAGGCCCTTATCTTTGAGAATACATGAGAGCCAGTGAGAGAAGGATATCTGCATTTTCTCTCCCACTAATTTATTTCTCCTTTTTAAAATACCTTTTGACCAGGGATGTGTTTAGAGTCTCCAAAAACATGCAGAARGAGAAACAAAGCCTTCTTCGGCAGCTGGAACTCCTCAGGTAAGAAYTGGTAGAAGCTGGAGGGAAGTGCTGAGCTCTTATGCCTGTTAGGGGCTGAGGATTTAGCACTGTGCTCATTTCTCCAGTGGAAAGCTACAGGATTGTATTCAAGCAGTGTTTAGACTCTGCTTGTTTTTCTAGGTCCAGACAGAGTTGTGCGATTTGGCCAGCTCTGGCACATTACAGACTCTGTTATTTCAYGAGGTAATCCCTCCTCTGGAGGAATTTAGTCTTTCCTGCTGGCTAAGGCAATCTTGTAGGGCACATTTCATCAAYTGGGATACATGGAAATCCCAACATGTTTGGCCATAAACTTCTTTATCTCTGTTCCCATGCTATCTTTCTGTTCTCACTTTCAAATGTAGGTTTTTACTTCATTTTTGACAAGCATCTCATTGTGTCTTTCCTGTGTCTTCCTTTGGAGCAGAGAAATGAACAAGAAACTTCGAGATGAGCGAGATGCTTTTGAAGCCAAGAAGCTGGTTAGTCTAAGAAAGAAAACCTTAATTCCCAACCACCCTCCTTTCATATGCTGCTGTTGCTGTCACCACTCGGGGGCCTGTCACTTCCACGGGGGACAATGACAAGAGTTCACAGGGCCTGGTGTTGTGCTTTATACAGACTTTGCAGCACCTCTGTGTCTGTGCTGAAGGCAAGCTCTGCTGTTTGCTGCTGCCAGCTGCCCGGGTTTAACCCAAGGCACGTTGGCTGGGACTGTCACACAGCCCTGTGCAGGGCTGCAGTGGGTGCTGCCTGCTGCACATAGAGGGTCTGTGCCTTGTGACAGGCACCAGGCACATGCAAGGAGGGGAGAGAAGCTGGATGCATCCCTGGAACAGGGTGGTGAGGAAGAAGATGGATTCCCAGATGTTCTGCTGACTGACTGGGCACGGAGTGGCGCAGGAAGGTTTTGGAGTTTTTCTGACACCTCTGAGTTTGTAGTGGTTGTTTTCAGATATTCCTCTCGGGCAGCTTCCCATTCCTGTGAACTCTGCTGGGTGCAGCAGTGAACTTTCTGTCAGAGAACTAGGAGAAAGCAGGGTCTTTGTCATCTGGAACTGTCAATCTCTGGCCTTTTTCAGTCACCAAGAAGATAAGCACAGATATGTGGTCTATTTTAAATTCTTATTATTTTTTCATTAAGAAGTTTTTGTGTTCCCAAATGTCACTGGCACGGCTGCTCTGTCCTCTTGGACCCATCCCTGCCACCATGCCTTTGCCTGCTCTGCCACCATGAAGATCTGCAAGTAGGTGACTTGCAGGGAGGACAGGCTGCGAGAGCCTTTCTGACTGCTGTGGAAAGAAACAYGGGGATCGTGCCCACACAGGAGATGAAATGCCCTGCTCTATCCAGAAGCTGGAGTTTTCCAGGTGGAGAGCTATATAAAATAATGTCAGTAACAATTTTGGATAGAGGTGAGGTGCATGTGTTTCTGAAATCTGGAAGATTTTTCTTTCTTCAATCTTAATTTCTAAAGCTGCTAAGTTTGTATATACACCAGAGCTTTTTTCTCCCTCTTGGAAAAGCCATAAACACAGTCACTCTGCAGCAGAGTCCAGTGCGAGCAGGCAAAGAAAATGGTTTCTTCTCTTCTTTCCATGTGTTCTGCTTCAGCTTGTGGGCTCCTATGGGTGGGCGGGTGGCCTGTGGAGACCACAGCTCAGGTATGTACCTCTGTGTGTGCAAAGCTCATCTGCTTCTCCTCTATCCCCTTCCCCTGTTCCCCAAGACCTGCTGCTGCAGGTGGACCCAAGAGAGACCCTAGCAGAGAGAGTCATAGCACAGAGGAGCTGCTTTCTYCCTTCTCCTGTTCTGGCAGTGGGGAATGAGGCTCAGGGTGAACTCCTCCTACCACCATTGCTCGTCTGGTGAGCCTGTGTCATGCTGGGCAGTCTGTACTGRAGTAAGGTTTTTTCTTTTGGCCACTCTCAATTCAGTGTGCAGGAAAGCAGGRTTCCAAGGGCTTGCAGAGATGCTGCTATCATCATTATACCTGCAGAAGATCTGCTCTCCAGCCTGTCTCACAGTAAGGGGGAGAGAAAAGGGAGAGAAAATGGCAATACTTCCTGCAGAAGCAAAAAGGGGACTCCAGCCTTCTAATGGGGATCCCTAGTGTGTGACACACTCTCTACAGTGACTATCAGTGCTTTTACAGGCTAAAAAGAAACCCAAGGCCTTAATGCCCTCTGTTAGTGCTGAGAAGAGTTATTTCCATGGAATGAAGGTGTGGTGAACAGAGGTTCTTTCATAGCAAAGATTTTGAAGTGGTTGGAAGGAGGAGTTGGGCTGTATGTGGCTGAGTCATTCTCCTTTGCTCTTCTCAGTTCCCAGCTTAATACCTTGCTCTTCATAAGAGCTTCTGGCCTTGCCAGGGTGGACAGASCCCAGCCTCACCGCACTGTGGGCACTTTCTTGTCCCAGGCAAGAGAGGCTGGGTCACAGATAGTGATATTTGGCTATTTCTGCCTATGTGCGAATGACTGATGAGTATTTTGAGGACCCAGGGGTTGCAGGTTCAATTTCATGCCCATGACCCATCTGGCTGTGAAGTTATGCTAGCATGCTTTTGTTGACAGAGCAAATTTMATGTCTGCTCATCATGAAGAGTGTTTTGGTACTTTGACTACATTTGACATGTATTTTTATTTCACTGGTAAACCAGAATCTTTCCCATTCAAAATGCTTGTACATGTGTTGTTGTGGAATCCTTGTCATTGTGTGTTACACAGCTGTGATGTTGCATCTGTCCCTTTATCATCCTGGTGAAAAGCCAAATGTTACACAATCCTGACAGGCCAATAAAGCATGGCAGAACCAATGGCAAAACATGCCCCACTGTTCCTTTCTTACCCAAGTACGTGCTCCACAGGCTGATCACTCTCCAGGTAAGGTGGTGCCGTAGCAGATTGTGTGGGAGTCCTGCTCCACGGGTKACTTGAAGGTTGCTCCAGTGGCCTGTAACACAATTTGCTTCTTTCTGTGTGGCTGAATGGTGCCCTTGAGTGAACCTGCTCAAACACTGGAAACTTCCTCTTCTGTCCCTGCTGGAGAACTACYGGTTGCCTGTACTACAGCCTGGCTGTGTTGACTGGACTGTTGCTATGCACTTGCAGATCATTTGCCTTGGAAGATTTGTGCTCCATAATTGTGAGCCTCTCAGTGCTGGATTGTTTCTGTAGCTGGAGATTCTCYTGAACTGTAGTTTTATATGTAAAAAATGTTTTGTTCTTTCCCTGCAAAGTTCCTAGTTCCTGTGGAGTCCAGAGTGTCTCCTTTTGTTGGACTGCATAGCAGTAAAGGTGTTCTGGGAGCTCTGACCAATAGAACAGTTTATTTTTGTTTGTTTGTTTGTTTGTTTGTTTTTTAAAATAAGCTTTCAAATAAGGGTTATTGAAGAAATAACCTTCATAGTTCTCCAGGCTGTGCAAAGTAAGAAGGAAGGCCTGTCCAGAGCTGCCTGCAGGTGTTTGGTCAGTTCCACTTTTTGGTGGATTTTAAAGTGAAGGAGAAAGCAACAACAGTGATGGCTTCTTGTAAGAATTAAATCATCTGAACTGTGAAAAGCAAGCCCTATGCTCACGTCTTTGAGCCTTGCAGTGAGGCACTACCACTGCGTGGTGTGGGGCTGCCAGAGCTCCAGCCTTGCCTCCCTGAAGCACTCTGCAGAGGTGGGGAGTGGCTGAACTGGGGCTGTAATCACATTCTTCATTCCTTCTCTTTTCAACTTCCAGGTGCCTCAGAACAAAAAGCCCCTGTTGAAGAAAGGGTCAGTGCTAGGCAGTTGCCTGCTGGAGGACAAGCCTGTCAAACGGTTAGATGGGTGTCTGTGTTRTGTCCATGGTGTCAGTCTGTGCCCRCTGCAGCACCCTGTCACTCCAGCTGTGTCCGTGTGTGGTTCTCCCACCCTGGTGCTGGCTGCTATTGAGARCATGGTGGGGTGCAGCTTTCCTGTRGCTCTAGCTGTCTCTTGGCATCAGGTTGTGTTGGCTCAGCATGAAGCTGGGGACACGGTTCACTATTTTCCACAGAGAGGTGGCCCTGCTGCTGCTTCTTCCTGCAGCAATGGGGCAGCAAATCCAAATATCACCAGAAGGTTTGGGGCTGTTCCTGGGGTGGGAGTCACAAAGGCTGCCTCTCTCTGAGTCAGACAGCTCTGTTGAAATGACTGGATGAACTCCCAAGTGTGCCAGTTCCTCCTCAGGCGCAAATCCTGTCCACTGGTGCCTCGTGCCAGAGCCCGTATTCCTGGGGCAGGGGAGAGGGCAGCAGTTGCACAAGGGTTGGGTTCTTTCTGGCAGCTGAAAGCCCCGAGGGGAGGGCCTGGCTCCAGGTGGGTTCTTTGTGCCCATCTCCCTCTGCATGTCTGCAGCTGCTCATCTGGCACACCAGCCCTCCCTTCAGCCTCTCACTCTACTTGCAGAATATACAGTGACCTGGCTTAGGGCTGGATCTCACCTGCAGCTGCTGGCCCCAAACAAGTTTTAAAGGCAGCACTCTCTCCTGTTTCTTACCAGGTCTCTGCAGAAGGTTCCATTGCTTCCCAGTTTCTCCTGGTGCCAGTCAGCCATAGATCTAGCTCTGTTTCTTCCAGTTTCAATTCACCCTTAATGCTTGCAATTCTGGTAGTGACACTTAACAATTTAACTCCAGGCTGCTTGGCTCATGGACTGACGGAAAACCACTTGGACTGTGGAGCAGGGCTGATTCTTGAACCCATGGTGGGGGGTTGCTTGGAAAGGYCTGAGGTGGAACTCTTGTGGCGATGTGACTGGCACACATCCTATCCATCAAATCAGATAACCAAGTTCTCCCATATTCCTCCCCYGTTATTTCTTGCAAAGGTCCTTCTAGCTGCTAGTGGCATAAACCCACTGCAAAGGTTTRACAGCTGGAGAAGTCTGCCAATGAAGGTGATGAGAGAAGGGGAGAAGCAGTTGTCAGTCCCATCTCTGTCCCAGTGCTTGAGAAACAMGAAAAAAATCTGTTAGATCTGGGGTGACTTTTCAGGGGTTTGTCCCTTTGCCACCAGTTAAAGAGGCCCCTCACTGTGTGATTTTGCCAGYTCTGGGAGATGGGTGCCATTCCCCAGAGCCTGAGAGTATATGTCCATTTTCAACAGGGAGAAATTCCAACTGGYCTGGCTCTGGGCTGGCATTTGGGGCAGATGCAGGGAGGGCAACCAGGAATATGAACTCCCTTTCATAGCAAGAAAKTGTAGCCATGGCAGCAGGTGAATTTTGCAACCGCAGATGAAGTGTCCTTGCTGGAGTCAGAAAGAAGAATTGTCTTGGTTTCCACACTAATAGCAAGAGAAAAATGTTGCAGAGCGAGGCAGGGGGATGTCTCACCTCTGAAGAGACTGACTTTTGTAAGCTCTGGTTGATCTAATTTCCTTCCAAAYGCRATCTGCTGGCCAGTGAAAGCTATGGAGATATCTGTGGTGGATAAATCCCTTCAGCTTAATTCTGGCTCTTCTCACTCCTTGTCTAGTTCTTTAACCATGGAAAACCAGTGATGCTGCCTTGCTCCTCAGCAATTATTCCAGTAGTTTAAATTGGTTATTAKAGGTGTTCTTTTGAAGATTTTTCCTCCACCTACCACATCAGCTCTACTGACAGTGAGCCAAGTGCATTAGCCTGCTTTTGTGTGGGAGCAATCTGTTACTTCTTTTTACATTGTATTTAGTAACAAAAATATAGGGGAATTGTTGCTGCCTTTAAAAAAAAAAAAAAAAGTTTGCTACTTTTGTATGTTTTGCGTCATTTTTTTTCACTACTGGGGAAAGCGGTAGGCAAAGGATTCTTGAAAAACCCAGAAGGTGGCAATTTTTATTAAAAGTAATGAAATATATGTCAGCACATGTGAGTACAGCACAGCTCAGGTGAGCTGTCTCTCTTTCCCTAAGGGAAGTATGGAGAGTGAATATATAGAATTCCTGCAAGAGCTTCATATGCACTAATTGGATTGCATTGGTTGTTTGGGAATTTGCAACCTCCTTCTTTCCCTATCTCCTCATCCCCTCCCACCCTATCTGTGCTGCCTGTGGGCTGTAATRCAGACAACTGGCCTCTGCGGACCTTCCCTTCACCTTCCCAGTGGATGTGGCAGCRGAAGAACCCAACAGAAAGAACTGTAAATACTTCCCAGGCAATGGGGTGTGGATGAAGACAGGAGGAGGAGGCAGCACAAACTTAGGAGAGAGCAGCAGAGACGAGGACAGATGGSCCTTGGCAGCAGATCCTGAGAGGTTTAAGATGACTTTGAAGGGTGACTCTGACTGCAGAAGAAATGCAGATGGCTTAGATGCTGCTCTGCTGCTTCCTCGAGCGCAGCCTGTTGGCACCGAAACCACGGTGAGTTCACTTACGTGGGGTTATTCCTCAAACACCTGATACCAGGGACTTGAGGGTGTCYGACTCTCTTCCCATCTTACTCCAGCTCCATTGGTTCACAGTGCAGGGGTCCAATGCCTGTATCAATTCACTGCCTTGCAGCTGGCCTTTTCAACACCTCRTCCTTTTTTTCCATTGTAGCTCCAAGCACTGGAACCAGCCAGCTGTTCCCCAGATCGCATCTTTAAAGTGGTGTTTGTAGGGAATTCCGGAGTTGGGAAGAGCTCCTTCATCCACCGYTTCTGCTATGACAGATTCTTGGCTGAGCTCAATGCAACCATTGGTAAGTAATCGGGTGCCTGGCTCACCTGGACAGGAAGGGTGGGAAAGTCAGGCTGGACAAATGTTTTTTTTGCCTGCATTATAGCCCAGCTAGAGGTAAAGATGGTCTCCCTCCCAATGTTGAATCAATCTTATCATTTCCCTCATAAAGAACTGTATTCAACTAAATGGAGTTGGCCTGGCCACTGTAATGGCAAGCTATTCCCTCTCTCTATCTGACCATTGTTACCTTCCCAACAGGTATTGATTATCAGGTGAAGAGTCTAATGGTGGATAACACCCAGGTTGCCTTACAGYTGTGGGATACAGCTGGACAAGAGAGGTAAGCAATTTCTGCCAGGCTCAGTGGAAGAAAGGGAAAGAGTGTATGCAGTTGGTTTCTGTTCCTGGGAAAACTATCAGCTTTAGAAAGACCAGACAGGACACGACAGCTATTGCAGTGCTGAACCTGCAGTAAAGGTCTGTTTCAGAGATTTCTAGAGCTGTGGCTGTGAAGTAGAGCCCAGGGAGATCACTCTGAGGATTTGACAGAAAAGTAGTTTTCCCTATGTCTTGACCTGCATGCTTGGGGCTCCAGGCAGTCTGTCCATAGATAGACGTGGTGGGGTTCAAAACTCCTCTAGCCCTCAAGGCTCTCCTCCTTCAGAGAAAAGCTTCAGGACAGGGCTGCAGAGTAGGACAGAAACTAAGGCTCTGGATAGATGTTCTGTCCTCTGTCCCCAGCTACTCACTAGCACTTGTTATTCAGGGGGTGGAAATGACTTGTTATTCAGGGGGTGGAACCTTTCCAGAGCTGATTCAGCTGAATTTAGCTTGACCTGTGGGGAACGTGATTTGAAGTACCCTGCTGGACTCTATCAATGAGGTTATTCGCCCTTCCACTGTCCCTTTTGCCAACAGACTCATGGAAATGAGATAATCCTTGGTAGAGGGACTGTGCAGCTTTTTTTGCACTGGTTCCTCATTTGAAGGCTTCTAGTTTCAAGAGCATGGGCTATGTCTAGATGTTACCAGCACTGTTCGTGAGGATCAGAGTAGTAGAGGACACAGTGGGCCCTCATCTGATACTAGAGATGAAGGCYCATCACTGCCTCCATGTAAATTACGTTTTATTTAGGATGCAATTCAAAGTTTAAGATGAAAAGCTATTTCAGGGAGACCGTAGGAAACCTCAAGGGAAACCTCAAGGGCCTGACAAAAATAAGTACTGGGTATTTTGAGCTAARTATGTTATGGGGGCAGCCAAGGTCATGGGAATATTCTAATCCYAAACTGTGCCAATGATGCTGTCTGCCTAAGTCAGTTAGACCATGCYGAGCTGGTGGGAATGTACTAAGTAGGAGTATCCATTGAAAAGCAGCTCTCTCTTCTAAAACCAAGCTTCATGTGAAGAAATAATTATTTCTGAGGGGACTCCTGTGGTTATTTTGATGCTGAAACTGAGCAGTAAGGGGGGTTGTTATGACATAAAATGTAACATTTTATTGAGGCCAGATTGCAGTAGAGACCAAATTCAAGATATTGTCCCTGCAGAAGGACCTTTAGCACAGGCTCCTCCAGCACTAGCAGGTCTTAGATGTATGTCCAAAAGAGAGAGCTTGGCTTAGCGCTGATGAAAGTAGGAGACCTGGGAAGAAGCAAAAGCATTTCCTGCTTCTGGAGGAATATTAATTACTTCTAACTGGAGGTGTCAAACTGTAAATATCTGTGCAAGAGAGAGAAGAATCCCCTAAAGCATTCAAGGAAAGCTCCTTGGTGACTTCCCTGGGAACTGGTGCATGCAACCTTTTGACGTTTCATCAAGAGCATCTCACCTGCCTGGCATTTCCAGAGGTGCATCTTGTCTGCCAAGATACAATCTTTGCTTTCTCAGTTGGGTAGGTGCCAGAATGTTGTGTCCTTATTRTAGTGAGAAAGAACAGGCTTCAGGCAATTATCTGAAGAGTTCAGGAGCGTCACAGCTGTAGGTTTTCTTGGCTCATAATGGGTGGTTTGTTATCCAGTGCAGGGCTGAAATACACAGCTCTTCAGTGAGATCTCMGTACTTTTGTTATATTTAATTTCATCTGTTTGCAGTCAGTGTSGTTATATTATGGCTCTGTCACAAAGTGCTYACAGATTTTAAGGTTKGGGTTTRTTGTTTCGGCTTTTTSGTTTGGTTTGKTTTTTTGTTTGTTTGGTTTGCTTTGGTTGAAACTTATTCACAAAATACAAGCCTGTGGTTTTAAATGGTACAGACAAGAAAAAGTAGATGTCTGTCAGGAGTTCTTCCTGGAAATTGYATCTCACTCCTGATTTGTTATGTATAATGGCATTGGTTTATAGATCCARAATTGGAAGCAGACTGTATTGATGCTGAGTTCTTAATTGCTGTTTTGGCAGCATTGGGGCAGACRTTATGCATGCCTAGTTTGTACTGTGCTACAACCTAGACTGCAGATTTTTACCAGTTATAGGGAAAGATCRTGTTTTCTCCATCAGTTTCCCTTTTAATAGGAAATTACCTTTTCCTATCCCACCTAAACAGATTCATCTGCTTCTTTCTTCCTGATCTGTAAAGGTTTTCCTTCTTGCTATCTCAGCACCATGCATTTGGCAAGACTTSTGCTCACCCATGGCTGCCTGGCCTGCCTCAAAGGTGGAAGGATATGACCTGTCACCTGTGTGTAGATACCCCGGGGGACACATCACACAGGGGGGCTGCCAGACAGCCTACGCTAACAGATAATCTCATTCAGTTTCTTCCCATTGGACAGCTGTGGTTTTGAGAGTGCCTTTGGTTTGTTTGGGCTCAGGTTTCGGAGTATTACCAAGCAGTATTTCCGGAAGGCAGATGGGATCCTGGTGATGTACGACATCACAGCCGAGTGCTCCTTCGTGGCAGTGCGGAACTGGATGAGCAGCATCCAGGTGAGAGTGCTCCCTTGCTCCAGACCARCTCCAACAGTCTGTCTGGGAGCAATATATTTCAGTGCCCCAGGAACTCCTATTGAGCTTGTGAAGCTGAATTATGAAAGCAGATGCCTGTGGTGGTCAGTTTGGGACCAGGGGCTTGGTATTGAAGATAACAACCCACTGGTAGCCCATTAAATCAGGAAGAGCTGTTTCTATGGCRGAACATGTGGGACCTGCCTAAACATAAGTGTGTGTTTGTGAGCAGGCCATGTGGACTGGCAACATCTCCTAAACATTGTGCTCAGTTGTGCTCAGGCAGGAAAATCTCCTGGTGTCCAGCCTATGCACAGGAAAGGGARATGAGCCTTTCTATTTCCTTTTTAAAAAATTTGTTTTCATTCTTTTGTTTTCCCTCATCTTTTATTTCCAAATGCTCAGTAAAGGCATACATCTGTGGCTCATATCTGCTTGGGGAGACAAAATACCTCTCTAAGTTGTGTGCAGATGATCAAGAGCTGAAGGGAAATTTTCAAGGGTGGTTTTGTTTTGATTGTGCTGAGTCTCAAAAAAACAAGATCTCAGTGAAATGAGGAAGTATAGGTTGGAGTTTTTAGTATTATTAATTTCTGCAAGCTTGTTGGAGAAACAAACAAACAACCACTTATGTCTTTGGACTCTAAAAGATCATAGGTTAAGATCTTCAAAACTAACCAGCCTYTGAAAATCAAGTTCCTTTCAGGAGGAAGGTTAAACTGAGCACACAAACCACATGAAATCTGTACATTTTAATCTTGCTCTTCTTTTYGTCTCTCCATCTGTGTATTTATTTTGTTTTGAAGCTGTTCAGGTTCTGRATGTGATCCAGGGCACTTGAGTGTGGAAATAACTTTGAGCCCTGTTCTTACTTTGACCATGTTCTAGTTAGTCAGTGGAACTATACAGTTTGACCAGAGGTAAGGGACTCCAGGAATAACAGTTCCTACAGAGACAGTTTACAAGGGTTGAAGGTTGCTTAACTTGCTTGGCCACTGGATTTTCAGCAAGGGATAATTGAGTTTAGGACAGCACATTAGACAGTACTACACACACACATAAATTTTTTTGAGCTTATTAAGAAGCTCTGCCTCACATCAAATTCCCAGCAACCTATAGGGCAAGCTACTTTTCTTTAGACTAATTATTTTCCTGAGAGGCACTTACATCCTGTCTCTCCTYTCTCACCATCCCAGCTGAAAATACCAAACATTTTGAATACATTTCCCTAGTTTAAGCTTCCTTCAATAAGTCCCTGTGCCTATTGAAGGAATGGCCCTTYAATGAGCTAATAGGCCTGATCCTGCTGCCATTGAAAGCCATTTGCTTGAGCTGGAAGGATCTGCTCTGAGTTACTTCCCTCTTACAGCTGGGTCTCTAAGGTTCTTTACTCTGTTTCTCCTGCAGGAAGGTATCGAGGATGGAGCTGTGGTCTTTCTGCTTGGAAATAAATTGGATGCTGTGCAGAGAGAGACCCGGAATGTGCCCAAGGTGGAGGGTGAAAGACTGGCAAAGGTGTGACTCAGGGCTCTCCTGCTTGCCCTGCCCTGCAGCCACCTTCTAGCTGTAAGCAGGGCAGTCAGGCTGGCAGAAAGCCCTTCTTGGAGCCATCTTYCAGTATGGTACCTTTCCTCTCCCTCCCACCCCATTTCTCCAATGTGAATATGTACCAAGGTCCCTCTGATACCAGTGAGGATGAGGTGGTGACCCATATGTGGCACACAATGGTCCTTGAGGCAGACTCATATATTTCTCTTGAGTCTTGATGCCTTCTTACAGTCTGTCTGAGGGGAGCATGCATGGCTGATTTTCCATTTGAGGGCCCCCTAATCCAACAGCATCCTGCCTCTTTCCTCACTCCCTGGTCTGTATTCCTGCTGGCACCCTGGTCCCTGGGTGGGGGAGACAGGGTTTCAAACCCTTCTGGACTCGAAATAAAAAGGTAAGGGAATCAAAGTACCCTGAACAGATGTTTTCTCCTCCCAAACAATGCCCCCAGTGCTTCCTTTTGGACACTGTTGCTTGGCCCTCAATGCTGAAAAAGCATCTCCTTTTCCTGGGTAGGTGAGCAGGGTGTGCACCCCAGCAGGGTGGTAGCAGCCACTCTCGTGGTTCCAATGGCTCTTGGCAGGGTTCCTGGGGATGAGGATGGGCCCAGCTCCCAAGGCTGTGGGTGAATGGTGATGGTGGAGAGCTGGCAGTCACCATGGGTGCTTGCTTGTTCTCTGGCAGGAATACAAAGCTGTGTTCTACGAGTGCAGCGCGATGACTGGCTACAACATCATGGAGCCCATGCTGCACATGGCCAGGTCAGTAATCAGGAGCAATCACCCTGGGATATTTCCCCAGCTGGAGGTGACTGGTGTGGGATCTCCTGGAGAATGGGCAAGAAGAGGGTGGGTGTCAGATTGACTTCCTGTCATGTCCCAAWAAAGACCTGACTCCTCTGAAGAAGGGTCCTTGTCTTTTGTGCCTGGAGAGCACCAAGAATAGACTGGACATTTTTGCACACAGAGCTTCATCTGGCAGAGCTGGCTGTTGCAAGATCAGGAATTTAATTTGAATATTTCATCACCAAAACCTTGTWTACTCTCCCAGATTTTAAATTGGTGTCTTCAGTTTGAAGTCTTCATGCAGCTCTAAGGTTTTTTCCTCCCTATCTTAATAACCATTGTACAGACTGAGCTATTTTAGTGGCAATAGTTTTAAAGGGAGATAAGATACTGTTCAGCTGGAAGATGCTTGCTCTAAGATTTTTAGTTTTTAAAAAAACAGGTAGTTTGGAAAAAAAATATTTTCAATCTTGCATGAAARCCACCCTTTTGTTTTCTTTTATCCYTCCCCTCCTYCTGCACCATCTCTGTTAAATCCACAGCAGGACTTAGCTGCTTATTAACAGGGGGATTTACTTATCACCTAGGTGAATCATATCACCCATAGCACATGTCTTCAGCATGCTTTATTACCATGCTGCTGCCCAAGATGGCCCAGACAGGTGGAGCAAACAGCCTGGGATTCTGACATCAGTGGGAGAGCTTGGGAATAAAGCACAGGCCACTCACGCTGGTGCTCTGATCACAAACACAAGGTGCCTCCTCTTGTACGTGTCCAGTTTCTTTCCCTGTTCTCTGGGAATTCATGCTCAGTCTTTGTGTGTGGTTTATCTAGCCCAGCTTCGAGAGAGTCCAGTCTTTGGGCCTGTCACTTCTTGCAATTAAAAATGTAAATCCTAACTGGCTGGTGGAGAGCAAGGGGYAGAGGCAAATGCCTTGGCAGGAAGATCTCAGTAACCAGATTGTGTTTTTGATCTGTGTGGCCCTTTCTAGGTTGCTGACAGCACAAGAAGACAGGCAGAAGGAGAATGCCCTGCAGCTGGAAGAGATCAGCAGGAGGAAAGGGTGCTGCACATAAAGCATGGCAATGTGTCAGCAAGAGACGTGCCAATGCTGTATCATGAAGCTGCTGTATCATGAAGTGCCAGTGCTGTATCATGAAGCTGCAGGTTCCTTTCAAGCAAGCTGAATTTGATGGTATCAGCTCTCTAGAGATTTGGGGGAGGTGCAGCTTTTCCCAGTCTGTGAATTTTGAGGAATAAATCAGGCCAAAATGTGCACATTATCTGCACTGTTCCATTTCCCAGCTCTGCATGCAGCCCTGGTCTCTGGAGGCCTCTGCTTCTTTGGGGGAATTTGGATGGTCTTAGCTAATTGCACAAACTGATCCTTCTGTCTGGAGAGGTCTGTTCCCTGTAAAGGGATGAAGTCTTGTTCCTGTTCTTTCTGGCAAAGAAGTGGCCTAGCAGCAGAGAGCAGAAGACATGGTGGGTCTGTATTAAATACAATTTCAATGTAAGAGATAAAGAAATCATTTTAAACTTGGCCTACCTCTAAGTAGTGATCCATTTGTGTCTGAGAACAGCATCTCYTCTTGGTTCTGCAACAGCAGTGCTCAGCTGAGACCCTGCTGTGGTGAGCAAGAACACTTCCACCACTTCCTGTAAGATCTGGATCAGGCCCTGTATTGATTGCAGGATTTGGTTGGACTTGTCGATATTGTATCTGTTAACAGATTCCACGTGTGATTATAGTATGAATTGATAGGACRAATCATTCCAATGGCTTTCATCGCTTTGTCACCCTAATGGACCTTGTCACTGTCCTATCGTGTGTTTACAGAACACAGAGCAGTTGCCCTGGGACCCGCGGCTGCTGGTGTGTGCTGCTGACTCACAGCCCACTGCCAGAGCTGTGCTATACAAACCAGGGGAGCCATATATAGCCTGTTTCAAGGCTTAGTGCTGCCTGTTTCCTCCCATTGTCTCATCCTTTCCTGAAGAATCTCCAGTAACTCAGAACTGCAGTCCTGAAGGATCCCAACTTCCAGCTTACCGGAGTGCTTTCAAATGCACATGGGCTGGAAACACACGGCAGCTGCCTGTCTGAAATGTACCTTTTAGTGACACAGCCTCAGTTTACTGGTGAAAGAGCCAGACTGAACCTGTCCCCATTGGGAAGGGGTCTTCTTGTCACTAAGGGGCGGGGCAAAGCACCCCTGGGGTGCAATGCTTCCTGGTTTGCTGCTCAGTGGCTCTCAAAGCCTTGTGTGACTGAGTGAGATTTTTGGTATTGCCCTTTCACCTTCAATGCTGTTTTAGTATGTGGCTCTGACATTTTAAGCACAAGATGTGACACTGCAGATCTGAAGCAGTCCCTCAGCCTTTCAGAGAGAAGGCCAGTACTTKTCCGTGATCCTTCCTCTCTTGGGATGAGGCGGTTGCTCTGAATGACTGTTTAGTTCACAAATTTCCCTGGGAATATCCCATGCAGGAAAAGTGCTCTGAGTCATCTACAGCCCATCAGTATTACAAAGGATTTCCATGATTCCTTCTGGTGCCCTTTAATCCTGATAGGAAAGAGGAAATATTTCTCTGGAAGAGTAGGATTTCTGAGTAAAAGGAAGAGCTAAAAGTAGTAAGATCCTGCTCACTCCTTACTGTTGGCTGGCTTTGGCTCACACGGTTTAACTGCACTAACGCCTTCCAGAGACTGGGAATCAGAAAGCTGCAAGAGGTCCTGAAGGACCAGGGTAGATGGTGGAGCCTGGAGTGAGACCAACAGTGCTGCCAGGGGAATGGCTAATGGCTTGTGTTTGCAAGGAGTGATATTTGGGAAGGGAAATCCAATCCAGAACACTAAGGTGTTCTGAACAAGCGCCTCCCATGCTCTGTACACAGCACATCAAAGACAAAGGTGTGAAATACAGCTGACACACAAATATGGGCTAGTCTCTGTATTACCTTTATCAGTGCTGTCATACTTCAATGGCAAGGTTTTTTTAATGTACAACCTTATGTTTTCTTAGTGTGCAAACAGTACAGGCAATAAAAAAATGCCGTCTTACAAAGGGTTGTCTTGAGATTTTTTTCAGGCGCTATAGGAGATTGAGTCTCCCATCTTCAATCACTGATTGTAGTGTGACCTTCCCTTCTCAGTGCTCGGGAAGTGGCCTGTCCCCCATGGTGGTGCACAGGGGATCTTGTAAGTAGGGGGAGAGTTGACCAGGAACCCATGTCTTGGAGGCAGCTTTAATTAAGGGATAAATTAATCTCCAATCTTTTTTTTTTTTTCCCCCTCTTTCAGCAGCCAGAGTCCAGCTGATCACAGAGGAGAAAAAGGGAACATTTCTTCCCTAATGTCTGGGGGTGTAATGCTTTCAGAGAGGTTCTCACCTTGTTACCTATATTCATAGAACTAAACCTAAATTTTATTAATGTCCCATCCACCSTTTTCACTAGAGTTAGGAATTTCATTGCTTTTAATCCTTGTGCCCTGGCATGGCTCCAGCTTGCTATTCACTCATTACAGAACTAAACCCTCTCCAGTTTTGACCAAATAAATTATTACTGATTTCCGCTGCTATAAACTGATAGCACAAGGGGKTTTTTTGGGGTTTTTTTAAGAAGGAAAGGGTGGATTTTTGTTTCAAGGATGACAAATTGGCACAGAGTTTGAGCCGGCTGAGCTTGGACAGCGGTAAGCAGCAGGGTGGGGTTTGTAACTGGAAGGTCTTTTGTTGTCTCTCAGCACAATAATTAAGTGTCCTGTTGGAAGACCCAGGAACTTTCACTCTAAAGGGGCATTTTGTTAGTTTTTAAATTTACTAATATCACACCCAAACTTAACCAGAGTTTCCACAAAATTCTTCATTTTATTACACACCCTGTTTTGTCAGAATCTCTCCTGCCTCTAAATGGAAGCTCTGGGAGCAGCCACCCTTTGTAAGTGACTGCTGGAAACTGTAGTATAAATGCAAATAATGGGGATATCCTGAGCTAGTGTGAGATGAGGGAGGATGGAAAATAAGACTGCCTGGGGGCTTATTCGTTCACCATTTTGGCTGCCGCCTCTTAGTGGACAATTGACTTTTTGCACATAATCTGTAAAATATTTTGGAATCATATCACAAGAAAGTACTCTTCTCACAGCCTGGAAAGCATTATCCTGGCACATGCAGCAGTGCAGCTGTGTACACAATCAGATTTAGGGGCAAAAGCAAAAAAAACCCAGCTGCTCTGATAAGCAACCATGGTCCCATAAATCTCTGCTAGCCGGCAAAGGGACCTCACTGCTTTGCTTTCACTTGTCTCTTTCATGTTCGTATGCTAAGGGTAAGCATAAGAGGATTAGGCTGACAGCATCTCTTTGAAAAGSCAAAACAAGGCTGAAAAGAGAGCATTAGGCCACAGTGTTAAGTTTAAAGCTTTTCCACAGGACAAATGCAGGAATTGCAAAGGTTTGAGATGTTGTTTTCTACTACCTTCTTTATTCCAGCAGTTTGAACTCCAAGGACAGTTTCCATTTATACACAGTGAGTTCCTGCTAAAGGGATCTTGCAGTCACTCACACGTTATTTTCTGCCCTGTCACCTTCTTCCATTTGTCTCTTTTCATCTTTTCACTTGTTGATTGCTTAGGGTATAAAGATATATATTGACCAAGTGCTTAATCTCCAATTATAACTTATCTCACAGCCCATACTATATATCTTTAAATGCTCTGTTGGGCAATATCCAGCTCCGTGCCAATAACCCCACGGCTCTGCAGTTCAGAGCTTTGTTTAGCAGGCCTTGATTACTTATCTGGCTGTTGATGAGTCACACGGAAATTTCKGCTGCCGTGGCCACAATAACCCAGCTCCAGCCTCTCCAGCCCGCGGGGCATGCTTTATATACCTATATATGATGCTGCAAASCAAGTGTAGCTGTGTGCTACTTCTGAAAATACTAATCCACTGGAGACCTGACCAGCAATAAGCTGAGTGTGGGAAGATGGGGGATTCTATGTGTACCTCACTTTTACCTGCAGGCTGTCCCAAGCATAGGAAGCACCTGTGCCCATTCATGCCCATTTGCTGACCCAAACCTGCCAGGCTGGTGGTGGGGTTCCGTGCTTTGCTGTTTGTGTGTGAACTCCCTGAACATGGCAAGAAGGCAGCGGCCCAATGTGCTGGCTACCCAGGGCTCCACCAAGGATAGCCAGGACCTGGGGAGGRGGCAGCGGGTCTTGTGGCTCCCAGATTCTGCCACATATTCCCTGCAACAAATCCGTCAGTGTGTAAGCGAGCTGCTCCCCCAAGACTCTGATCACTTGCCGGTTCTCCAGCAGCTCCGTGCTAAAGCTTAGGCAGGATTCTCGTGGGCTGAGGAAGAACGGAGTGAGGTCACTCCTTGGGCAGGATGAAGTGATTTTGGAGTTGGGCACATGGATAGGTTAAAGCAAGCACCCAGGACATTCTGAACTGGCCTTTTCCTTCCCTGCCCACATCTCCTCTCTTCATCCTCCCCTGAAAAACCCTGTGAGCCCACGCAGCTGTGGAATGGAGAAGGCGCGGATCTTTTTCTCAGGAGGATCCCCCGCACAGAGCTGCTGCTTAGCACAGAAGTTATGTGGGCTGCGGCTCAAGTGAGGTAATGGGAGGATGAGGCAATGTGTCAGTCAGGGCTTGATCTTGCTTTACAGGCTGTTTCACGGAGAACTCTTTTAACAAGCAGGTCTGACGCCTAAAAAAAAAAAAAACTGCTCCAGCTGTAGTTCGCAGTAAGGTGTTGCCTGCGGCAATGGAAATGGCAGGGCAGGCGGCCCGGGGGCACGGGCAGCCCCAGCCGGAGGGCCGGGCTCCAGCCGGGCCGTGAGGGAGCCCCCGGGTGTCGGAGCGGGTGGCCCGGGCTGGGCTGGGCTGGGCAGGGCCGGGCTGGGCCGGCCGCGCCTCCCTCCCGCCCTCCTGAGGGTGCTTCCCCTCCCTCCCTCCCTCTCTCCCTGGCTGCTCCCTCCCGCGCAGCGCGGCAGGTCGGGGCGTGCGGCGGCGCGGAGCGGCGGCCGAGGGTGAGGCGGGGCGCCCGAAATGGCGGCGGCGGCGGGCCGGGGGGAGGCGGGGGGTGCGGCGACCCCGGGGAGCGGTGCTGGGGAAGGGGCCGGGGCGGCAGCCCGGGAGAGCGGGGCAGAGCGCGGCCCCTGGGCCCCGTGTGCGGTAGCGGGGCCCGGCGCTCCCTCCCACCCGCGTCCATGGGGACCTGGCCCGGCCCCCCGACCCCGGCTCTGCCGCAGCGCTGCYTTGCTTCCCCTCCAGCGCCCTGTGGCATTGCACAGCTTTGCAGGGGCTTGGTCCTCGTGTGCTTTGATTTTTTTTTTTCTTAGGAAAGTGTTTTAACCTGTTGCGGTTGGTGTCATAAGCTTTAYACAGCCTGTGGGTTAGTAAAGGTGTTCTGAATGTTGCCATAAATCTTGTGAAACGATTATTTTTCTGCCTTTTGTTCAGTAAAATCTCCCTGTTGTACAAATAAAGAGTTGGCCTTTATGCTGGGCTTGTAGGACCATTGGAGGCGGAGGAGGGAGAGAGCGAGCCCTTGTTTACCWCACAGTCCAGGCGATATTCTATTCCCTTCATTTTCTGGAGTCTGGGTCAAATGTGGGGCTGATGGCAATGGGTTATTGCTGCACCGTGGTGTTGCTTGCTATGAGGAATCTTTCCAAGTAGCTTCTTCTTGTCCCTTTGTAAGAGCATAAACTGCTGTAAATTTTTTTTGAAGTCTGACTTTTCCTGAGGGCTTTTGTAATCAACCTGTTGCAGAATCCTGTTGAATTTTAGCAATGACATGCCTTTATTTCAGGCTGCTCTGTAGCATCCCTTAAATTACACTGCTTCACTTCTTTTGTCTTCCTACAGTGCTTCCTGCCTTTCTCTGAGGGTTCCTGTGGTGCYTCCTAGAACAAGGGTTGATTGAAACAGCATCACCTGTCAGAGGCCRTTTTGTTCAAAGGGTTTTGAAAGAAGTCCCTTTTGCAAAAATGCATTTCCTTTGCCACCTTCATGGCCATTGCCAAGGTTCTTAGGGAAGCTTTTGGTGTGATGGATGGCCTTACCGTCTGGTGTTGTGGAGGCTGAAGAGCCTCTTAGCGGTGCCCCTGGTCATCCTAAGGTCCATCCCAGTCCTCCTGCGTGACTGTCATTGCTGCCCAAGGACTGCCTGTGGTGGAGGGAGCAGAGCGCCTGACTCAGTTGAGCTATTGCTGAGCTCGTGGTAACTAGAAAAGTCAGTGCAAAAGTTTCACTGCATTTATAGTCTCTGAAGCATTTTGTGTGCCTGGGACAGGCAGTTTCCAGTCTGTGGATTGTTGGAAGCTGGCCAGCGGAGAATTGCATGGTTGGAAGCTGGGGCAGCATCACTTATGCTTTATGTGAAACATCTGGTGACAGATCCCTGTGAAAGGCATAACGCTGCCTTATTTGCACAGGTGGGCTCTATTTTGCTACAGCTGCTCTGAGGTGCCACCACTTGAGTCAGATATTCTTGCTGGAAGCTTGAGCTGTGAGTTGGAGGAGGTGGCAGCTTTGGAGCTTCTCCATGTAATTTTCCTCAGATCCCATCCTTGGTCTGTAGTTTGCTGATGATGTCTTTGAGTCCCTGGTCTGTATTTCCTTCTGGCCATATGCTGTATTTCTGCAAAAAGCATGTTTTATTCCTAACTGTYGCTTGTGCTCATTGGCCTGTGACTTCTGCAGTGGAGGAGAATGACTCTTCCAGTTGCTTGATAAAAGTCCTGGTGCTTCCTGCTGTACAGTGGTTTCAGGAATCAATAAGAAAACATCTTTTCTGAGTGCTGCTAATAATGTCCCATG